TCCTGGCTTCATCAAGTGATGGGTTTGAGCCACGGTGTTTCGAGGCTCAGAGCCTTGAAGAACTAAAGGCAGAGTGGAGGAGCTTAGAGTGCTTAGTGGAGGAGCAGAGAAAGGAAGTGTTTATTTTCCCAATTTCTCCATATCATCAAGTGATTAGGATGTCTGCTTAATCGACTAATGACATGGGAATTTTAACCAACTGGGAAATTAAAGCAGCAAGATCACTTTGGTTTGATCCCAGTGATTTCATGCACTGGAAACAAACCAAATGGAGTGAGCCTGAAAAAAACAAGTTCCTGACAGGGACTCAGAAAAATATAGGTAGGAATGCTCTGGTTCGCTCCAGCAATTATGTCATCTAATTAACAGAAAAAGGAGCAAACCAGACCTTCCCTGCTTTGGACCAAACAATAGGACAAATACCCATCTGATTGCATCCTCTGTCTCTAAACATCAGTTGCTGAAAAACAGTAGGAGAGAATTGCTTCCCTTACATCTCATATATGAGCTTCCCGTTGACATTTGGCTGTGCTCTTTCATTTTCTTAGGCATTGATCCAGTTCTAAAGATTCCTTTTTGAGATCTTGGTGGATGCAAAAAGAGTAGTTGCATCCACCCAACCCCAAACCTAAATAATTCATAAGCATTTATTTGCTGATTCCCTCCAGATTTGTGTTCCCCTCAGTAGTGTTGCATTAGCTGTCTTCCCATCTTTCTTTGAGTAGGCTTCATTTAGTGATAAACTGTATTTAGTGAACAATTAAATTCAGAGCTCTCAATGTATACCACCCTGTCCTGCTGGCTTCTTAATTTGTACTTTGTTAGTTAGCTCTTGAGCATCATTTCTTGTTACATCTGTTTGATTTAGTAAATTATTTGATTTAAAGACTGCTGTTTTAATCACTTTTGAATTAATTTGTTTTAATATCACATTTGTATTGCTTATTCTTTCGTTAGCATCTCTGAATATTCATTTGAATGAAAGTACGGAGCATAAATATAATAGGTTACATCCAATGTTAGTCTTCACTGATGTTAGTAAAACTTAGATTAATTGTGACTTCAATGCATCTACTCTAGGTAGGACTAACTTTGTATTTGGGCTCTGGTGTTGGTATTTCCTCAGATGTTGCTTCCACATAAAGAGATCAATAAAAGAATACAAATTAGATATGTTCGCTAGCACCAACATTCAGATTCGGTATTCGGAATTACAACCTTTTGGATTCAGAATTCGGAATTTTAAAAATTCATAATTTCCATATATTTGGAACTCTATTACAGTCAGTATGAATACTGTATAGTCATTATGCTACAATAGAAAGTGAATTTGCCACATCCTGGATTAGGTGGCACAGTGACAATCCCAGTTTTTCTTGCCTTTAACAGCTCACTGCCTCGGACACTGTGGTGAAAATGTTGTGCTACCTTTCTGGCTCACTGAGTTATATTAGGTATGCATACTTTCCATACCTGCAAAGTACCCCAAACCACTATTTTGAGAGTGTGGACCATGCACTGCACCCCTTTCCTCTTCCCAGTTTGTAGTGTTGCCACCATGTTTGCCCACTGACTGTTACAAACAGGCCTTGTTTTTCTGTATCTGGACTCTACTGTTGCAGCAAGTCCTTCAGAGCTTCTTGAACCTTGTGAGTTGTTTGGGTGCCATCCATAACAGCCGCATTCAACAAGCCCACCTGTATCCTGCCCTTGTGTATTGCCCTATGCCTCATGGCTCCACCTCCTACCAGTGTCATGCCAGGGAGAGATAGGCAGGTTTTGCACCCTGGCTGATCCAGATGTCACTTGTCAAAGGTACTACTTGTGCCCTGGCCAACTGCTGCTATACCAGTTGCCTGACATGTCGGTATATATCTGGCACCACCCTGTGGTTAAGATTCATTTCAAATGGCAATTGGTAATGGGATATATCCATTCTAAAGGAAATCAATCCTGAGTGCTCACTGGAAGGACAGATCCTGAAGCTGAGGCTCCAATACTTTGGCCATCTCAGGAGAAGAGCCCCTGATGTTGGGAAAGTGTGAAGGCAAGCGGAGAAGGGCACGACAGAGGACAAGATGGTTGGACAGTGTCATCGAAGCAGCTAACATGAATTTGACCAAACTCCAGGAGGCAGTGAAAGACAGAAGGGTCTGGCGTGCTCTGGTCCATGGGGTCACGAAGAGTCAGACACAACTTAACGACTAAACAACAACAACTATGGAAATAAATCTATGCCATAAACGTTGGAAACCAGTGTTCTCCACCAAAGAGAATGGCTGGTCATCCAAAGTTATCATCTCCCTAGGCAATGAGAAATCTTAGCATTTTTATGTTTTCCTGCACCACACCAGACTCCTCCACGGTACAGTGGTGCTTCGATTAACGAGTGCCTGAGTTAATGACGAATCTGCATAGCGACAGATTTTTTTGCGATCGCAAAAGCAATCGCATTGTGATGTTTTTAATGGTAAAACATTGCTTTGCGATCATTGGTAAGCTGATGATTTTCGCATAGCGATGTTTTAAAAACAGCTGATCGGCGGTTCCAAAATGGCCGCCGGGAAAAATGGCCACCTGCTGTGTTTTCGTGCTGATTCCTCGCATACGGGCAGCGAAAATCCCGGCCGTATGGAGGATTTTCGCTTAAAGGTGAGTTTTAAGCCCATAGGAACACATTAAAGGGGGTTTAATGCATTCCTATGGCCTTTTTCTTTTCGCATAGCGACAAATCCGGATAGCGACGATTTTTCCGGAACAGATTATCGTCGCTATGCGGGGTACCACTGTAGTTGGAACTTATTCTTGAGATGAGGGTCTGGCATTTGCTGCCTACTACCTCTTGCTGTTTGCACATTTATTTCCCGGCTTCCCTGGGTTGGTGGCTCAACCTCTGCTCTCTGATGAGTCTTAACTTTTCACAATAAGAAAGTCACTTGCCCCCATAGTATCCATTTCATTTGCCAGCAGCAGTGCCCTGTGCTGAGTCTTCCATTGACTGGGCATGTTGCTATTGGAGAGGTTCCCCAAATCCTGCCTCCACTTGAGCACCTTCTTGCAGTCCATGTACTCAGCCATGCGAGTATCTATTGCACACAGTTGAAAATGTTTCGAGATTGTTGACTTCTTAGGAGCTTCAGTTTTTGACTGTATACTCATAATTGGGGATTGCTAACTTGTCATCACTACTGGTTCCAGTAACTAGTGTCACATGCTCCCAAATTAGTGCCCACCTGAATTCCCTCAGTCTCCTCCTCCCTCATGTCACATATGTATATACTTGAAAGGGAGTTTCCACCAACGCAATACTGCTTTGCACAAGAGAAATTTGCAGGGAATGGAGACTGGGAATAAACCCTTCCTTGAATATGATGGAGTTGCATGGTATGAATATGGAAGGCAGTGTCTGGTGCTCTTCATAAATCCCCCGACAACAAAAGCAGCAGAACAGTCTCAGTCTGAGTGCTGATACCATCCTTGTCCTTCTATGGTACATCATCTCTTGGGGAGAAAAGTGCCTTCGTCACCATCTTTTTTGGCCCCTTGCCCCGGCTGGATTGCGCAAAGACATCACTGGAACATGTCTGAGGTTCACTCCTGTCTGTCACATCTTGAACCAGAGAGGCTTCTCTGCCACCTTGCTGTGTGTGTGTGCATGCGCATGCACACACAGAGAGTCCTGCTGCTTTCATAGTGTAAGTGCTGAACAAGGCACTTGTTTTCTTTCAGGGGCTCACGATAGCAGTTGTAGGCTTTTTCCTCTCCTTCTCCCACTTCTTTCAATAGAAGCTTTTGCAGAGAGTACAAACAGCCTTCTTGCACCCTTCCCCAAGTGCCTCCTTTTACTACACTCACGTTTCATACTATCTGCAGATTCTACCCAAAGAAGAACGGTTTCTGATTCTGCTACAGTAGAACACAAGCCCTTCCAAATGAAAACCATAGATACAAAATCTATGAATATATCTGTCTATATGTGGCACATAAAACTAATATAATATTCCCCTGTTGATTTAGCTCATATTAATGTATGAATCTACTAATCCTAAATCTTATCACTAACTATATTAAGTAAACCATACACAATGAGATGTATATGTAAGCTGAGGGTTCAGAAAAGGACACAGAGAAAACTGCTACAGTTCAGGCTTTCCCCAAAGCATATCCTCATAGCAAATGTTCAGGGCAACTGTGACCACCTTTCAACTGAAAAGGACCAATTGGGTGTGTGCGTGGGGGCAGGCAGGTGGTGCATGCATCAGGGCAGGTGTGTGGGTGGACAGGTGGGGGGCGGGGGGCGCATATACATTTGTATGCATGTGCGCACTCACACATTCCTGTTCCTTTGGCCCTCAAGAACTTCGAAAACATCCAATGTGGCCCTCACTGTAAAAGGTTTGGAGACTCCTGGTGTAGACAGATATCATTTACAGGTTTTGCTTTCACCTCAGCCCCCTCTCCCTTGGGAAACCAATGGAAACCCCAACCAGGAGACACTGAATTTTCTGCACTCAAAACTCTTGGTGTCAGAGTGTCTTTAATTTATCTCCAGAAATCACTCCAAGTTGCCTGAGAAATGCGTTTTGCTTTTACATTTTCCCCTGCTCAGTATTTTCCAACGTTGGTCAACACAGCTAGTGGTGAAGACCTCTGGGAGTTTTAGTCCAAGAACATCTGGGGACCCCAGGTTGGGAACCACTGCTCTAGCAAACAGAAACCAAGCTGTTTGCTTTCTAATATATATGAGTAACTGGGACTCTGAATATTAGGAATCATTATTACAGATATTCAGAACAATTGGAATATGGCATTATTCAGCGAATTCTGAATATTTCCAAATCCGAATGCACATCCCTAATTTACAAATTGCTTTTACAAAATTTTTCAATCTGGTTTGCTTGAAGTGTAAAGGAAATGTTCTGTTACAGTTGCACAACAAGTCTTCTGCATGGGAATTGTACTACAACATTTTTATTCTAATGTCCCTTTTTTCCGTGCAGGTCCTGTTTGTTCCCAGACATTGGTGGCATTTTGTAGAATGCATTGACCCCATCACTGTTAGCATCAATTCTTGGATTGAATTGGTAATTTCCCTCTGCTTTTCTAAAATTACTGTTGTTTGTTTGTCAAAACTGTTAGTCCCTACACGTCACAGAATAGTGTGCCTCAGAATATCTATACGATACCATGAACTTCATTGATAATTGTAATCTAACTACCTCTTTCCATACCTTTTCATTAACCAAGTACGGTATATATAATTATAGTAAGAGCATATTCTCTCCCCTGCTTCTCTTTGCTGTATCTACCTTTTAATTATCCCCTGTGCTTAATTATAGACAGAACCCACACAAAGCAGAGACCTCTCTTGTAGTTTGCGATATACTATGAACATGGAAGATGTGACATAAATCACCATCACTCTGATTGGCATTATTTTAAATTACAGAAGGAACTTGACACATGCATGTTGGAAGCATTCAAGAAAAATTTGGACAACCATTGGTCAGCTGCTTTGATTTGGATTCATGCATTGAGCCAGGGGTTGGACTCAATGGCTTTATAGGCCTCTTCCAACTCTGTAATTCTGTGATAATGTAGAGAGAACATATGAGGTGGAATATCTTCAAAATTAAGAGGACTAGAAATTCCTCTAGATCAGGTGTTGTCAACCTGGTGTCCTGCAGCTATTTTGGCCTACAGCTGTCATTACCCCTTCAATATTGGCCATGGTGATAGTGGCTTATGGGAGTTGTAGCCAAAACATTTTGAGGGCACTACCCTTTTCCCGAATTCTAGATGTATTTTCAGCCATCTCTTGATATACGTATCTCACAATAGTTTTTTCAGTCCATCCAGAGTGTGGGTAACTGTGGGCTGGGTGAGACCTGGTCTCCATGAGAGTTTCTGCAGCATCACGTTGAGGAGAATAAATCCTGCAACAGTCACTCAGCAACATTGAATTAAATTAATTGGATGCAGGTTATTTGCTATAAATGTGACATGACTGGGAAGATGACATTTTTGTAGAAAGATCCTTTGGCAGGAGTGGTGCTGATGGGGAGCAAAGTAAAGATACTATCACTGGTTCCTACTCGACCCCCGACCCCCATTTTGTTTGAGAGAAGGATTTTAGGATATTCTAGTTATAGGCTGCAGGGACGTAGTGGCGCTGTGGGTTAAACCGCAGAATCCTCTGTGCTGCAGGGTCAGAAGACCAGCAGTTGTAAGATTGAATCCACATGACGGAGTGAGCACCCACCACTTGTCCCAGCTCCTGTCAACCTAGCAGTTCGAAAGCATGTAAATGCGAGTAGATAAATAGGTACCACCTCAGTGAGAAGCTAACGGTGTTCCATGTCTAGTCGCGCTGGCCACGTGACCATGGAAACTGTCTTCGTACAAACACTAGCTCTGTTGCTTGGAAACCGGGATGAGCACCACCCCCTAGAGTCGAACACGACTGGACAAAAATTTTCAAGGGGAACCTTACCTTTACCTAGTTATAGGCTAGCATTAATTCTAATGTGCTGAAAAATGTACTACAATTTTGTATAGCAGGTTGGGAAACGTGTCCTTTGAGATGTTGTCAGACTTCCAGTCCTTTCACTCCTCACCCTTAGCTATGCTGGCCATGGCTGATGGGACTTGCTGTCCAGGAACTACTGAAGAGCAACAGATCTCCTATTCATTCTACCCAAGAAGCCTTGGTCATCTCTTTTCAGCATAGGACCGAAGTCAGATACATGCAAATAAATGTTGAAGTCCAGTGTGCCCCTACAGGGGTGTAGCATGTTGGATGTGGTTGATAAATTCTTCCCTAAAATCAAAAACTTAACAATTGAGAAGGCTTGAGCTATTAAATTGAATGTGGCCATTATTTAACCTGAGGAATGGCTGCTTATAATCTTTTTGGCAACAGCTGATTATACCCTATTATCCCCAGAGATGACAACATTACTTTTCAGATGTAGGCTTGTCTGTCTTGGGAAAATAATGTGTGGCGTGAGTGTTAAAACACAGTATCAAGAACATTCCCATTATTCATTTAGGCAGTTCTCTGGCTTCCAGCAGGCACCAGATGTGAACAGGTTGTTATGATAGGTGTGTGTCATGCTAGCTTCCAGTAGCCCTGCTGATGCCATCAATTATTATTATTTTTTTTGAGACCTTACAGTATAAGGAAATTGTTTTAATTTGTTTTCAACACATGGAGACAATTCCAAAATTAGGTGATCGGTGTTGTTCATAGATTTTGTCAGGCAGAATGAGCTCTCCAGTGCTGCAACACCTTGAAACACTTCACAGTTCTCATTTACTCAAGGTAAGCTGGCCAAATGTGCCCATTTTGAAATGTTATGAGAACAGACGTTTCAGTCTTAGGAAAGTGCATTGTGATAACAGTAAAAGGTCTGGGGGAAGGATATTGGAAAGTAGGAATCCCAGGAGGAATTCTGACTTGAACTTGAAGCCAGTATGCTACAGTGGCTAGAACATTGGACATTGACTCAGGAGATGTAGGTTCAAATCCCCACTCAGCCGTAAAGCTCACTGGGTGACCTTGGGCCAGGCACTGTCTCTTAGCCTGACCTTTCTTACAGCCCTGTTGTGAAGACCAGGTGGGAAACAGAGAGCTCACAAAAGGAAAAGCAGGATATAAATGCAAGTAATGTAATTTATTCATAATTTATTATAATGTAATAAATGAACCTGTTCACCTAGGAGAATACTAAAGCAAAGTGTGATGCTTATATACTGCCCCAAAGTGCTTAAAGCTCTCTTTGGGTAATTTACAATTTATTTATTTAGGCTACATATTGCCCTCTCCCCACCCTCACTTTACCAACTTCAGAAGAGTGGAAAGTTGAGTCACCCTCTAACTACCTGAACCCCTCAGGATCAAACACGGGTCATGAAGAGAGTCTTCACTGCAGTATTGCAGTTTAACCACTGCGTCTCAAGGCTTATTTTTTTACTAGTTTTTTATGGAATGTCCAACTATTCTAGATGGAGATCCAGATTTCTCCTCCCTCCATTTAAAAAAAATCACCATCTAGAAGCATGGGTTTCTTAGACATCAGGTTATCCACATTAATTGCATGCAGCCATAAAGTTGCATGACCCATGCATATGATACATTGACTGTAAAGGAAATAAATGATTATGAGAGCTACCTGGGCTATTCATGCAGCAGCAGGGGATTTGAAAGAACTGTGTGGATTATTTCACTGTGTTTGCCAATCTAATTTCCAAAAAATGAGAATCTGTTGTTAAATTTGATGTTCCGTTGTAGGCAAGTTTCAGCAGCAACCTGTTCACAGACTGCCTTGATCTGAGCCAGGAAGTATCCTTTTGCCATGCTTCTTTGTTTCAATTTACATTTAGAATTTTGCTTGAAAGCACTAGGATTTCTGGGCATACTGAAGTTGGTTTTCTTTCAAAGGAATTTTCCAAAAAACAAAGTGCAATTAATTATGTCTTGTCTGAACGAGCGAAAATGTGTAAGGCGTATGGAATTTTGTTGCACTGGTTCAGCCAGAGCTGATACTCAAACGTGACAAAGTCTGATACAGGGCCAGCCTAGGCTTCTCCATTTTGTGTGCCAGGTCCGGGGAATCTTCGTGCGTGTCATTGGATTTTGACTCCCCATCAACCCTACCTCACACATCCAGCAGTGAGGGGTTGGGAGACCTGTAGGCCGAAACATCATCTTTGCTGAATGGTTTATCTTCTGCTCTCGCTATGAAGCTGTGCTGGAACAAGAGATGCCTGGGTTTCCCTGGAGCGCTTCCCAGGCCTTGCAGTTATGTGCCCATCATGTTGTCTCTGGAAGGCGGGCAGCTGTGGGCTCTCCGTGACAGTTTCTGCAGCTTCACTTTGAGCAGAATAAATTCTCCCAACAGTTTCTTAATAGCATTTGAATTAAATTAACAGGATGCAGTTTATTTGCTATAAATGTGACGTGGCATCATGAGAAGTACTTACAGTTTAATTGGCATAGTGCATTTATATGAGAGAAGGAATTATCAATTTTCCACAAGGGGGGAGGTATGAGACATTGTGTGCAGGGCAGACCTGAGACAGAGCAGCAAATGCCCACCCAGATCAAAAGTGCATAGTATCCAAAAATTGTTGAGCTATTTTGACCCCTGAGACAGAAAATGCCCCCCTCCGTGGAAGTAAAAATGCAACAACAAATTAAGTGTTTGACAATTACCATTTCATCATATCCCCGATATGCTGCCTAAAGCAGTGTTTCACTCCCTGCCTACAGTCAGAGCTAGCCACAACTATGCAATGATTACATTGTTGCAGAATTTAAATTTCTGGTAAAGTTCTCTTTTTGCTGCACAGAGATCGACAGAGAATAGCTACAAGTTTCCCAGAATCCACTCCTTTTGTCATTAGCTAGCACTTAAAGCAGACCTGGGCAGTGGCCCTCCAGATGTTGCTCCCAGCAATCCTAGCCCACACAGCCAATAGTGAGGATTGCTGGGAGTTGCAGTTCAGCAACATCTGGAGGGCTGCATTTTGCCCAGGTCTGAAAGTCTCAGTAACTCACTCTGAGACATTTGTAGAAGAAAGAATATAAAATATTTCTTTAACTTTAACTTACTGTGTTTTTAATTGTGTGAATTTTAATGCTGGGAACCACCTTGGGTCCCTTGCTGGGAGAAATATAACATACTACTACTACTACTACTACTACTACTACTACTACTACTATACTACTACTACTAATAATAATAATAATAATAATAATAATAATAATAATAATAATAATAATAATAATAATAATAATAATAATAATAATAATAATAATTACAGTTGCTTGAAATTATAGACTTGTTCATACTGCTTTCTTTACTGCACACATACTAGCAACCAACTGAACAGATCAATAGCAACAAACATTTGCCATCATAAGAGAGGGACCAGAGAGGTGGAGCTCTTTTTGAATTCAGAATTTGGAAGGAATAATTGGACAGTGCTGGATAGATAGGCAGTCACCCCAGCCCAGAAAAGTCCATTCTAGTCATTCAAATGACAGATAGCATGGAAGGTTGTAAAGAAATCTCCCAAAAATCATAAGGTCTGCATTTTCTTTTTTCTTCCCCAGAAACAAGCAGGCGCAGAGGACCTGATAGCAATTTTTCTGATGTCCCATCAGCCCAAGAGCTGTATTACCTGGGGCCGTGGCCGAAGTGGGAGGGATAACTATGTTTTTTTAAAAATGTAAAAGCAAAGCAAAAAGCAAAGCGTGCTGCTTGTATACCACCCCATAGTGCTTCAAGCACTCTCTGGGCGGTTTACAGTTTAATTATGCAGGCTACACATTGCCCCCCCCAGCGAGCTGGACACTCATTTTACTGACCTCGGAAGGATAGAAGGCTGAGTCAACCTTGAGCCGCTACCTGGGATTGAACCCCAGGTCGTGAGCACAGTTTTGGCTGCAGTACAGCGATTTAACCACTGCAGTCAATTTACTGTATTTTTCTTAATGTTTCTATTAATTCTTTGTAAAGTTATAAGATTTTATTAATCTTTTAAAAATTAAATATGGGATTGAATTAAGAGTTTTATGAATTTTTTAAAAAGGCGGCAGAGAATCACCACGGCAGCTTATTTGCTGCTTATACAGCTCCATGGCAGCAACTATTCAGTTTTACAGCCCCCTCCTGATTTTGTTAGTTAAAGTTACTTATCTATTAAAGATAATTTATTTCTTCTGTTTGTTTGTGTAAAATGCCTGTCCATTGCCTTAAAAATCTTAATTAAAGAATGAAGTTTTCAGTCTCTGGGATTACTTCCTGAAATAATACTCCCACATTTATTGGGACTGCCTGATGTTTTCAGAAGTCCCATTCCAAGAGGTACACTCGGAGATTGGACACTTCCTCCTTTAATTAGGATTATTAGTGAATGAGCTTTTTATGCATCAACTAAAATAGTATGTTCTTCCAGAAGTAAATAAATTTAACTCATAATAATATATAATCATGTATTGTCAGGTCAATGCTGACTTATAGTGACCCTTTCCAGGGTTTTCTACAAAGAGAGTACACAGACGTGATTTACCTTTCCCTTCTTTTGGGGGCTCCTGGGTCTTTGCAGCTTGCCCAAGGCCACACAGGCTGGCTCTTCTCCCAGGAGGTACAATGGAAATCAACCTTTGGCTCCACAGCCAGATACCTAAACCACTGAGCTATCCAGCCAGCCTCATTCACACTAACCAAACCGGACAGAACCCTCTCCCGCCTACCACCCAAAAGGCTATGGAAATGATGACAAGCTGCTGTGGAGCTTTATGTATAAGCAATAGAAAAGTAATGGCTTGCAGTAGCAATTCCTTTTGCCTTTCTTTAAAACAAACTTATCATCTTGGAGAGTAAAAAAAATGGCTTAGAAGCCCGATTCAGTCCTCTGGCCATTCTTTGCCCACCTATGCTGTACTCAAACTTATTCTTCAAAGTCAAGCAAGCAAACACCACTTTTTCAATCTATCTCTGATTCTGTGGCATGCAAAGTCCTGTTCCCTAGTGAATTTATTCCTCCTTGTCCCCCAGAAGAGGCCTCCGATGCAATGCTCAGTTAAATAAGAAGATTCAGCCTTCCTCAGCATATCTTCCTGGTGAAACCCTAAATTAGTCGTTGTATTTCACTGCCTAAAGGCACCCGAGAAAAGGCACGACAGCTTGTAATGTGTAAGAATCAATTACTGGATTCTTGTTTCATCTTTTAAAAGCTGTTTGCTGGTCTCTTTCGTTAAAGACAACATTTGCTCCCCCCACCCTCCTGGTGCTGTTTAAGGCTGCAATAATGCATCAGTGGGCTGGTGGTGCTGTCAGAGGATGATATGCTCCCTGGAATTTAAAATAATTTAGTCTTGCATTTGTAATAACTCCCAAGGCATTTGCTGTCTTGCAGCTATATCCTTTATGTTTTAAGAGCTTAAATCATTTAGAGACACAATTTGGGACATGGCTTTTTGATCTTCCTAAATTAACGAACCTATATGTTAGATGGTATCCCTGTAGTATAAATTAAGGATCACAAGCCTCAATTAACAAGATGCCAAAGCAGTGTATTGTTTGACAGTTTTAAAATGTGTTTTATCTTGTGACTTTTATGGGTGTATTATGCAATTATAAGAGATGTTAATCCACGTTTTTTGTATGTGTGTGTCTGTATGTGTGTGTTGGAAATTACAGATCCTTTCAACATCAGACTCCTCTTTCATGGATACCCAGTTTTCTTCTAATACAGGAAATCATTGTGAAATCTCTAGAATAGGCAACTTGTAGCTTTGGCGTTGTTAAATCACAACTCCCTTCCTATATCGTTGTTGGCTATGGTGCAGCCAACTAGGGCTCCTTGGAGTTTCAGCTCAACTACCTCTGGAGTGCCACAAATGTCGTTGCTTCCTTACAAACTTGCAAAAAAACACCCACAAACCTGTATTATAAAAGTCAGCAAAGTGGTGTAAGTACATCTTGGTTGTTGCTCACCACTATATATTCCATACACATACACACAGCCCCCAAATACCTCATATCTGTTCTTTGTTGCACTCATGCCAAATAGCCTTTCCTTCAATGATGTCTATGGACTGGGATTCTCCTGGACTCCTTAAAGTTTCTGGAGACTTGGATTCCAGCCTGAAAGAGTCTAGTAAGCTTCTGTGCCTTGGTTGTTGCGACTAACAAAGATTCACTGAAACACTGACAGGAACTATATTTCAGTGCATCTTCTGAACTCTGTGTTCTCATTGTTTCAGCATCTGCATCTGTCCACTTTTCCGTATGTTCCAAATATAACTTTTTTAGCATTCATCTGTTATAGGATGCAGATCATGAAGCCCGAGTGGAAGAGGCAGTAACACGAACACTGATTTGTGCAATCAAATCTGCAGAACATCCTGGTGCTCCACATTCTTGGCTTAACCCCACAGAGGTAGAGTTCTCTTTTTCATTTGTCTTGTATGCCTTGTACATGCATTTGCCCCAGTGACATCTGGGTAATCTATAGTGCTGTCACCCCAGTCTATAAGAGAAGAATTGTTAGCCACTGTAGTGTGACAGAGCAGGAGTCTATATCAATCCCCATGAGTCTCTTGGCACAGTGGTTAAACTGCAGTGCTGCAACTAAAACTGTGCTCATGACCTGGGTTCAATCCCAGGTAGCTGGCTCAAGGTTCACTCAGTCTTCCATTCTTCCAACATCAGTGAATTGAGACCGTAGCTCATGGGGGGGAAGGGGCAGTGTGTAGCCTACATGATTAAATTGTAAACCACCCAGAGAGTGCTTTAAGTGTTATAATGCCCAACATCCTGCATCATTGGCTATGGTATCTAAGACTGAAAGGAAGGAGAATCCAACAGCATGTTGGATTCACACATTGCCCAGCCCTGTTTCAAGACAGCCAAGTGCTAATATCTCAGAGTGATATAGATGCACAAGTAGCGTGGATCTCACTCTGGGCAAGGAGATCCCATGCAGGAAGAGAGGTTCAGCATCTGTATATACTATTAACTTTTCGATTTCATTCAGTGCACGCGTAATCCTCTTAAAGGTCACTATGTGGTTTACTAGGGATGTGGTGGCGCTGCGGGTTAAACTGCAGAAGCCTCTGTGCTGCAAGGTCAGAAGACCAGCAGTTGTAAGACCGAATCCACACGACGGAGTGAGCTCCCGTCGGTTGTCCCAGCTCCTGCCAATCTAGCAGTTCAAAAGCATGTAAAAATGCGGTAGATAAATAGGTACCACCTTGGTGGAAAGGTAACAGCCTTCCGTGTCTAGTCGCGCTGGCCACATGACCATGAAAACTGTCTTCGGACAAACGCTGGCTCTATGGCTTGGAAACGGGGATGAGCACACGCCCTAGAGTGGGACACAACTGGACTAAATGTCAATGGGAACCTTTACCTATGTGATTTACTTGGAGATCTTCACATGTTGCAGTGAGGAGTGCCATTATTCATGGCAAGAAAATCCTTTGATAAAGACGGCCCTACATTTTTATTTTTGTTTTCTATTTTATGTGTTGTAACCTGTCCAGAGTAGTATCATGATACTAATAGGAGCAGGGTACAAATTGAATAAATAAATACATTAAAATAAATAGATAAATACAGGTTAGAAATAGATAGTATTCATCACATGCAGGCAATACACCCTGACTCATGCAAGCCAAGGCACAGCAGTCTTGTTGCCTAACTAAATTCCTGCATTTCTTCATTAGAGTAGATGGTTCCATCAGTGCATGGGCAAACCTTTGGGAAGAGTTGTGTACAGGGGTGCTCCTATACCCAGAAATAATTACAGAATGAAGGAGGAAGAAAAGTATGTTGCACCTTCAAGATTAAAAAGTGTAATTCTGTGTGAGCATCCATGGAGTACCATCCTCTTCCTCAGACACAGGGAGTATAGTATCTGAGCCACAAATTTATATGCAGTTACACAGTGAAGGGATGGGAGGAGAACCACTCCCATCCCTACACTTGGTCCAGTCCTCATCCCTGTGCTGTGTACACTACATCGCAACCTGAGGCCCAGACCATGGCTGAAATCCTCATCATCATCATAGGCATCCTTTAGTCTCGAGAGACTATGGCAATGTGCTCTGTATGGAGGACTTGGAACAGCGTCTAGTGTTTTGACGCTGTACGCAAAGCTGGAATGTCCTCTCCAGGGCACGAAGCCTGGGTAAAATAATGGAGGATAGGCTGTTACCCAAGCAAGCAGCAAATCCACCCCGCTCAACGTCACTGAAATAGTCCAATGGAAAGGCAATAGCCAATATAACTGGTCGCAGGAGTTGACAGAATGACACAAACTGCCTCTGGGACTCCGGCTCTGGATTTTGCCTCGAGGTTAACTCTTTTGCATGTGAGTGAGTCAGTGTTTCTTTGCTGTCATTTTCCTATTTGTTTGTACCAAATGCCTGTTTTTTCCACTGAAGCTGCAGGACCTGTGGTGATCTGAAATGATTTTTGAGTGGTAACAAGGTATTTCATCCCCTAATTCCACCTCTGGTACTGCACTGTCTGAGCCTACTTGTGCCTTGTGTAACGAGAATTGTGCAACCAATTGGATAGCCAAAGCTTGAGGTCAGAGGTCAAATAGGCGAGCGTCCAAAGAACCTTCCAGCTAATTCCATGTACCAGCTGGGAATACGGGCTTATAAGCATTTAGCATCCAAAACCACCCAGAGAGTGCTTTAAGTGTTATAGTGCCCAACATCCTGCATCATTGGCTATGCTATCTAAGACTGAAAGGAAGTAGAATCCAACAGCATGTGAAGGGGCCACACATTGCCCAGCCCTGTTTCAAGAGAGCCAAGTGGCATGGCGAACCACTTTTGGAATTTGAGGGGAGTTTGTATGGTGGCTAGAGGGTGAGGAATACTATTTGAAGACGCTGAAAAATATTTGTTCTAGACAGGCTCCTCACATGATGCCATTCTCAGTGCTAAGTCCCAGCTTTTTAGCGACATATTTGAAGACAATCTAAGGATTCAGTCAAACCTATGGTGTGGCTTCACAGGGATGTGGTGGCGCTACGGGCTAAACTGCAGAAGCCTGTGCTGCAGGGTCAGAAGACCAGCAGTCGTAAGATCGAATCCATGCGACGGAGTGAGCGCCCGTCGCTTGTCCCAGCTCCTGCCCACCTAGCGGTTCGAAAGCATGCAAATGCAAGTATATAAATAGGGACCACCTTGGTGGGAAGGTAACAGTGTTCTGTGTCTAAGTCACACTGGCCACGTGTTCTGAGTCTAAGTCACACTGGCCACGTGACCATGGAAAGATTGTATTCGGACAAATGCTGGCTCTATGGCTTCGAAACGGGGATGAGCACCGCAGCCTAGAGTCGAACACGACTAGACAAAAAAAAATTTGTCAAGGGGAACCTTTACCTATGGTGTGGCTTCTGGGTTTATACTACCTAGGGTCAGGGATTTTTTGCTTCAGAGATACTCCATGCTTGTGGAAACCTAGCCTATCAGGCATGATAGTTTTTCACAGGCAGAGAGCAATATAGAAAAGATGGTTGTTGATGGGTTTTTCCGGGCTCTTTGGCCATGTTCTGAAGGTTGTTCTTCCTGATATTTTGCCAGTCTCTGTGGCCGGCATCTTCAGAGGACTGGAATAGAAACTCTGTCCATGCTCTGTTGCTGTTTGTTGGATATTTGAATATTTATAGTTGTGGGAACAGCTTTTGTCTTTTTTCAGGAGATAGGGTGATCAGAGTGTGTTTTGTTGTGATAAGGAGGGGGAGATTATCTGTTACTGTGATTGATGGGTGTCCTTAGCTGGTCTTTTTTAGTGGTTTGTAGTTGACCTCTGGTTAATTCTTTAAAATGATATGTTCTTCAACAGACAGAGTTTAAAAAACTGATAATTCCTTAGATAGTTCCTTAAGAGTTTCTTGCAGGAATACTTAATAACAAGAAAAGACAATAATCATTAACTGTTGCCATATATTATATTGCTTAAGGCTGATACTGGCAGAAGCAGCAGCAATTTTTTGGTAATTAAACATTTCCAATTTCTCTCCCAAAGCTACTGAGGTGCCAATGCGTTGCCTTTCAAGAACCTGTAGGAGCTACAAAAAAGGGGAGGAAGTCCCAAAAATTGCTGCTGCCAAGTTGATTTTTAAAGACAGTGGAAATTTTTTTATGATTAAAGACTTCCCTCTCCTGTCTCATTCTTTCTGTGGCATGCTGATGATAAAAGAGATTACACAGGCATCTCAGAAGAGAAGGTCAGAAATGTTTAATTTCTGAAAAATCACCACTACTGATGACAGTGTCAACTTTATGTGGCATAATTTGTGACAACGGGATTTCAGCCATTGTATTCAACAGCTAGAATTTTCTTGCTTTTTTCAACATGCAGAAGAAGAAAAACACAGAAGTCACTGTGATAAACCAGTAAGGTGCCAGTCCCATGTCAGTTATGTGCTCAGTCACACAACTGGCACCTCATCAATTAGCTACAGGAGTTTGAACACTTTTTTTCCACACATGGTAAAAAGCCGTAGAATTAAGGGCCATGTGTCTGAAGAAATAGATTGTACTCTACAAAAATTTCCACTGAAATAAATGTGTGTATCCCTAAAGATGCCTCAGTACTTTTTGGTTTTGTTGAAACTGACAAAGAGTACAACTGCAGGAGAAGGGAAATGTGAATTAACTCACATTCTCTCACTGTGAAGTCATACTAGGGCATTTGGTTCCCTTCAGTATAAATGACCACACAGGCAGAGAAGAAATCCTCCACTTCTAATTGTAGTTCTACTTGAAGCACCTGTAAGTGGCACAGTTCAGAGGATCTGTCTTAAGAAAGCTTTCCTTTCTCAGTCACTCATTTCCTTGTCTTATCTTGCCAGCCAGTGCGGCTCGTTAAGTTGAGAGAAATAAACAAGCAAGCGTGGGGCTTTGCCTGAAGGAAAGCTGTTAAAATAAATAAAATAATAGGTGTCTTGGGAGAGGGGCTTTGCAGAGTGCCGGCACTGCTAGTGTGTGAGTCTCGGTGCTCAGTTGATCTCTTTTCTGCATCAGTTCAAATTAATCACATGATTAAAAGCAAAGTGAAAGAATTTGACTTTTTAAAATTAGGAGAGCTTTTGGTGGGGAGGGAAAGCTATGGATTGAAGCTGTGAGACTCGGGAACAATTCAAATTTCCCATTTCAACAGGAAAAATGTGAATCAGGCTGCCCCAGACTTGTAGTATTTTCTGCATTTCTTTCCTGTATAGACATGGCTACCTTTCTGAAAAGTAATTTATTTCTATATTTAAAAGACAGAGGAGGAAATACCTTGAGAACAAAGTATGTATTTTTCAACAGATGTCAAGAAATAATGGCCAATATTATAGAAATAACTTAAAACAATTGCAACAAAAGGTTATAACTCTTACATGGCATGCTGGCTGTTTCCTGTTATTGTACATTTATTTGATTCCAGGATAGGTGTCAAGAGCAATGATTGCAGCACCTTGGCACTAACATTAAGATATAGTTTGGAAAGCAAACTATGTCCGAGGACATAAATAATCAGATAGCAACATCAGCTGAAGGTGAAGGGGATAGGTAGTGAGGAAATGTAGAAACAAATCCTTATACTTGCAGAATTTCATTCCAAATGTGATTTTTTTTCCAGGTTGAAGTAACATCCCATGAAACCAATCTCCAATACTTAAGTGGAGCTGTGTCTGCATATTTAGAACATCAGAAGATAAGAAAAATTGAACCGAGAGCCTGTGGAACCCATGATGCTAGAGAGACTCTGGAAGGCCAGTGCAAGAGGAGAAAAATCCAAGTAGACACAGAACTGGAGGATGTGATATCTAAACCCTGTGAATTTAATCTAATAGGGATCAGAGCAAAACGCTTGGAAAAAATTCCTTTTGGACAGAGTCTCTTGCAGGTTTTGCCACAGTCCCAGGAAACAAACCTAACAGGAACAACTGAATGTGACAATGATAACCTTCTGAGTGAAAATAATACACATCTTGGAAAATCACATGATGCAGGGAGGGAGTCTGGAACGTATAGTGATTCCAGAGCACTTCTAGAGGAGAATGAGCCAAGCTGTAGTGCTGGCTCCCCGCAAACAGTCATTTCTACAAATGATTTGCTAGATTGTGTTCTAAATCCTCAAGTTGTCCACTTGATGGCTCGTCTTTTGCTGGAGAGAGCGAGTGTCTAGCATGGCCTGTGTTTGTCTTCTTGAAAATAAAGAGTTTCTGGCAAACAGATTCTGGAGTTTCCTCAGCTCCTTTATGGAAGAATAATAACTATCCAGAGCACAGACAGAGTTCTGACTCCTGTCCTCTGAAGATGCCGGCCACAGAGACTGGCGAAACGTTAGGAAGAAAAACCTCAAGAACACAGCCAAACAGCCCGAAAACCTACAACAACCAATAATAACGTTTCCACAATATTGTTAGAAGTTCAGTTATGAACTTTCAATCAATGTAGCAGTCCTGTGTATCAGAGCTTATCTGGACAAATTAAAAGGATAGAAGGCTTTGCCTATGTTACCTCGTAAAGCTGTACAACAAACCTGTTAGGTTGATTAGTATTATTCTTGTCATGTTGCAGATATCCACTTCATTGCACCTTGTGCAAGATATGTGAGGTTTCTGGGGAAGGATCAGATGCCTTGAGATAGAACATCTGATCCCTGAAAAATATCCTTGTCCTTCTGGAACTTAACTGTATCAGATACATAGGTAATTATAAAGAGCTGTCACTATACCCTTTGTGACAGTGCTGGTGTGTTTGATGGTTAAGCTGTGAGAAGAAAGTAAGAGCTTGGCTCAGCATGAACTCTGTCAGTGGCCTCAGACAAACCAACACCCAGATTATCTGACCCCACCTCACCCTCATTCCCCCTCTACCTTGATCTCTCCCTTCATGCCACTTTCTGCTTCTTCCTACCAGTTTGGTTTGAGTAAGTATCAAAAGTACATAGTACTCTTCTAAAACTGGGTATTATTCTTTGCCTCTAGGCATTCTTCCTTTGGCTTGTCCCCTTCACTTTACTGCTAGTTCTTTCTTCCTCTGGGTGTTTCTTTGTTTTTAGGCTCATTTGGATCGTGGTTCCAGCATGGTGCCAGTAAAAGGAAGAGGAAATCAGTAAGCAGAAAGGAGGAGCGCATGTTTGTTGCCTGGGCATCACCAAGGAGTTAATGTTGGGTTGCAAGGGTTATTTTGGCTTTTTTAAAAAATCTCCAACCCATTTGGCAAATGATAATTTCATTCATTAAATGCCACTTTCTCCCCCCCCCCATGTTTTATGTGAACTTGCCAACTGGAGACCTGTAGGCACTCTGAGGTTGCTGCCAAGAAATATCCAGTGTAATTGCTGAATCAAATGATCTGTTGCCAGAATGGAAAAAGAATTAGAAATTACAAAAAAAAATGTGATTAGCAGAGTTATCCTGGAATTGACTATTCTAAAATGGTTGGAGTAGGGAATCAATAGCTGTCTGGATTAGCTCAGTGAGTTAGGTGTCTGGCTGCAGAGCCAGAGGTTGGGAGCTTGATTCTCCACTGTGCATCCAAGAAGAACTAGCCTGTGTGGGGGCAAGCTCCACAGTCCCAAGGCACCCCCCCAGAGGAAGGTGCTGATGCCTTGGGACTGCTGTCTTAAGCAGCTTTCTACCTTAAAAAAAAACCCTGAAAAGGGTCACCATAAGTCAGAACTGTGCAAAATTAGTATTTTAGAGGAATTTATGTTCTCTGAACTACCAGTTGTTCTCTTCAAGGGCTAGGACCAGCAAATTAATAAATTTATAATACATATTCAAAATTCTAGATATATGTGTTATCTCACCTTTCAAATGCGTATTTCCATACAATATAGGCAAACATGGCAGTTATGCCATACAGTTCCTCAGGGCTCAATATTGTCCCCCATGCTGTTCAACATCTACATGAACCCATTGGGAGAGATCATCAGGAGGTTTGGGCTGAGGAGTCAGCAATATGCTGACGACATTCAGCTCTACCTCTCTTTCCACTAATCCAAGTGAGGCACTCTCTAAACTGAACTCGTATCTGGACCTGATAATGGACTGGATGAGGGTTAATAAATTATTATTATTTATTATTTATTGTATTTAATTTATATGCCGCCCATACTACCCAAAGGTCTCTGGGCTTAATCCAGACAAGACGGAAGTGCTGTTAGTGGGTGGCTCATCGGACAGGTTAAAGGGCCGTTTCCCTGCCCTGAATGGGGTTAAACTCCTCCTGAGGGCCAGGGTCTGCAGTCTGGGGGTTCTCCTGGACCCTGGTCTGGACTTGGAGGCCCAGGTGGACTCGGTGGCCAGAGGTGCCTTCCTGCAGCTGCAGAAACTGTTCCAGCTGTGGCCTTACCTGGACCAACGGAGCCTCATGACAGTCACACATGCACTGTTAACAACCCGTTTAGACTACTGCAATATGCTTTACGTGGGGCTGCCTTTGAAGATGATCTGGTGACTATAACTGGTTCAGAATTGAGCTGCACAACTGGTAAGTGGAGGAGCTGCAAGAGAACATATTCAGCCCATTCTGGCCAGGTTACACTTGCTACCAATTGTTGCTTGGGCCCAATTCAAAGTGCTTGTTTTGACATATAAAGCCCTAAACAACTTGGGCCCTGAAGGAAAATGTTCAATAGGGCTTAGGTCTGGAGATATGCTTGGTCAGCCTATCACCTTTACCCTCAGCTTCTTTAGCAAGGCAGTGGTCATTTTGGAGGTGTGTTTGGGGTCGTTATGTTGGAATACTGCCTTGTGGACTAGTCTCTGAAGGGAAGGGATCATGCTCTGCTTCGGTATACCACAGTATATGTTGGCAATCATGGTTCCCTCAATGAAGTGTAGCTCCCCAGTGCCGGCAGCACTCAAGAAAACCCACATTCCCACCACCATGCTTGACTGTAGGCACGACACACTTGTCTTTGTACTCCTCACCTGCTTGCCGCCACACACACTTGACACCATCTGAACCAAATCAGTTTATCTGGAACCACAAAACATGGTTCCAGAAATCCATGTCCTTAATCTGCTTGTCTCCAGCAAACCGTATGCAGGCTTTCTTGTGCATCATCTTTACAAGAGGCTTCCTTCTGGGATAAGAGCCCTGGAGATCAATTTGATGGTGTATGGTCTGAGCACTGACAGGCTGACCCCCACACACACACCTCTTCAACCTCTGCAGAAATATTGGCAGTACTCAAACGTCTACTTCCCAAAGCCAACCTCTGGATACGATGCTGAGCACGGGCACTCAACTTCTTTGGTCGACCATGGCGAGGCCTGTTCTGAGTGGAACCTACCCTATTAAACTGCTATATGGTCTTGGCCACCATGCTGCAGCTCAGTTTCAGGGTTTTGGCAATCTTCTTATAGCCTAGGCCGTCTTTATGTAGAGCAACAATAGTTAATTACCATGAGGTGCCATGTGGAACTTCCAGTGACCAGTCTGAGTGATAACACCTGCTCCCCCTTCACGCCTGAGACTTGTGGCACTAACGGGTCTCATGACACCAGGGAGGGAAAAGGGCTACTTGAGCCCAATTTGGCCATTGTCACTTAGGGTTGTACTCACTTTTGTTGCCAGTGGTTTAGACATGATTGGCTGTGTGTTGCGTTATTTTGAGGGGACAGCACATTTACACTTATACGAACTGTATACTCACTTCTTCACATTGTAGCCAAGTTTCATTTCTTCAGTGTTGACACATGAAAAGATAAACTAAAATATTTATGAAATGTGAGGGGGTGTACTCACTTCTGTGATACTGTATATTGTATACTCTTGTCCACAAGCAGAAACCCAGCATTTTCAGGGAATCCCATCACAGAAAAAATTCAAAAATTGTTTAGCCGAAAGTGCAAAGAGAGCTCCTTTGGATCTGCTTGCACCCATTCATTGAATACATCAGGGATAAGCAAATTGATACCCATTATGGTGTGTAGTGGATGGAGTGACAGACTATAGGACTCAGGGGGCTGGGTTCACATCCTTGATCAGCCATGAAAATTCACTGGAGATGTGGAATTGGTAAAACCACTCCTTAAACATCTCGCTTACCTTGAAGTGAGGGTTTCCATAAGTCAGTTCTGACTTGACAGCACATAACCTTGCTAGCCTGCAATTACATGTGGCATCTTGAGGCCCAAATTCACCCTCTGCCCCCTCATGTAATGATTCCCTCCCCCCAGAAATTCCTTTGTTGATGTTTTTCACTTGCTGTACACTATTTCGTCTCTTGCCATTATATTTTAACTGTTAACATATTTCTGATACTATAAATTGTCTCTATATTCATTTTTGACCCAAATGTATTTTCCTGTGGTTTTTAGTTCATTTTTATTTGTCTGATTATCCCCGAGTGGTTGGTATAAAGTCACTGGCATGACTTTATTCTTTCCTTCTGAACTCCTCTGTCCTAGAGCAAGGGTGAGCAACCCTCGCCCTCTGGATGATGTGTTTGGCCTACAACTCCCATTAGCCATTGACAGTGTAGCCATTTATATGGGTTTGAGGGGAAGCTACCATCCAAAAACATCTGGAATGTCACAATTGCCCATTTCTACCCTACAGAAATAACTTTAACAAATGTGTTATGAAAGCAATAAACCTTACCAAGCCCCGACATGTCTTGCATAAATATTAATAATAATATCTGGAAGGGGTCTGGAAGGGATCTGAAAGGGATCCTCTGGATCACTGAATCCAGCCGCTATCAAAGAGACACTGGAGAACTGAACTTCCAATCTCTGGTTCCACAGCCAGATACCTAAGCCACTGGGCTATCCATCAGATAAATGTTCTTTCCAGTACTTCTAGCTTTCTAATAAGTGCTCCATTTTCTACCATTCAGCTTTGTTTCATTTTGGATAAAAGTTTTGATTCTCTCTTTAGTTATGTTGTTGTTTTAATGTACCTCAGGTATTTGCCAAGGCCTCAGTTTAATCTAAATGGCTACTTAGTCTAGTCTGGAAAAATTGTGGCTCTCCAGTTCCCATAGGCCCTAGTCAGTGAAGAGCCATAATGGAAGCAGTGATTTTCCCACATCTGGAGGACTGCACATTCCTTACCAAGATTCAGTCGATCATCTCTACCTTCTGTTAAACATACATCCATCATTACAGACCTATTCAGTCATTACATATCTAGTTCACTCAACATACTCTCCATTATTCCTTTTTCACATGGAAAGTGGTGCATCTAAAAAGAGCTGGTTTCTGCTCATTGG